GTAAAGTTTATGTTGTTCGTTCGTCCATGAAATACTCGTGATGTCACTGGTGGGATTCGAACCTACAGTATTGCGTGGCAAATAATACTGGGAAATACATACGTAAACTCGTACTAAGATACATTGTATATATATATGTTCAAAAATATTATATGAGGTAACAAAACAGGAGGGTCAAACTTGACCGTTTTTTTGACAATCAGTAACTTAGTAATATAAATCCATAGCTATACGCTATCTCATATAACGAACATATCTCACAAACATTAATTTATCAGTGCAGTTTGTTCGCCTTTACACCGCCCAATTTTAATTGTTAGTGAACAAATAGGTAAATACATTGCAGGCCAGCAATTGTAGAAGATTTGCGTTTCCCTTAATATCCATTTTTCACCATATAAAAACGTGTACCAAGAAAAACAGTTACATAATAATTCGTTATCATATGTATTTGAGAAATACTGAAAGTGCAAGTCAGTTATAATATTTTAATGCAAGCGTTCCCCCACTGAGTTTGAACAACGCGTTTTATATTCTCGCTGTTGCCTGCATTCGAGTAGAACAGAACAGAACACATTTTTTCATGATACGTCCCCTTCCAGTAATACAATGTAAAAACCGGCGAGGAATTAGCCATCTGCATGATTGTCCCAGTTCGGACATTTTTTAAGGACCGGGTTGTTCGAAATCAACGCCCACTCTACTTTACGGGGTAGGGGTGTGAGAGTCGGTTTTCCTTTCACTTTACAGATAGTGCTAATTTAATACTTCAACAAAGAAGAGGGACAATCCTTACTTATTTAACCTAATTAAGTAGGTTTGTTTCCCTTTATTCTATGTTTCGTATATTACGCAAGATACACATGCAACTTTTCGGGGCAAACTGTTATCAACAACATGACAAACCGTCTGGTTATGTTGACTAGTATACATGATGTTGATTGTTGCAGGTTATAACAAAAAAGAAGGTCTTGTACATGTGAAAGTAAAATATCAGGTCAGCCTTGTCATCCTTTTGATGTGTACTTTCATATATAAGCAGCATTCAGTTTTGATAAGCCAAAAAATGGCAGGGCTTTTTTCACAGGTTGGAGAAGCAGCCCTGCATGCCCTTAATTTTGGGGAAAATAATATAGTATATTTGCAAAAGGGGAAGAAAAAACATGATGTACATTTAATTTATGGGAAAACTGCATGATTTTAAACAGTTTTTCTTTGGGAAGAAGCCCTATAGCGGCCCCTGATATAGATAGGGAAAAAGCCCTGCATGGACAAAGTGTACATTTATTTTCATTTCATTTCTGAGACATGTGTATATAATCCATGTAAACTATTTGGTGGTTAAGAGAAAAGAAAGGAAAATCAACCAGAAATATCAGCAAATATAATAAGCATTTATTGAAATATATCATGATCACTCAACTGCTCCCTTGTAATTCATGAAACTAGACACAAATAATAAGTACATAGTGCCTCTGACTGAACTTAATTATTACATGCAATTTATTTTTGTTTTCTTTTTTTCTAGAAAAGCAACATTAATGTGTTTACGACAGCTCCCAGAGCTTGATAATAATCACAACATTGATGGTGAAGAAAGAAAATGGAGGTTGCCTCTACATAGCATATCATCATCTTCAACAACAAGAGCTGTCAGTAGGACAGCAACGCTCGACTATTCTTAGTGCTTGATAGTAAAAAAAATGCTTGATACAGTTACCTCCTCCTGTTTACAGGTTGGGGTCATGATGGTGAACAAGTGTGCAAAGTTTCAAAGCCATATGTCAATGGACTTTGAAAATATATGAACTATTACAAAAACTTTAACGTAAATTCTAAGTCAAAAAAGGGGCATAATTCTGTCAAAATGCTTGATAGAGTTACCTTCTCCTGTCTACAGGTTGGGGTCATGATGGTGAACAAGTGTGCAAAGTTTCAAAGCCATATGTCAATGGACTTTGAAAATATTTGAACTATTACAAAAACTTTAACGTAAATTCTAAGTCGAAAAAGGGGCATAATTCTGTCAAAATGCTTGATAGAGTTACCTCCTCCTGTTTACAGGTTGGGGTCATGATGGTGAACAAGTGTGCAAAGTTTCAAAGCCATATGTCTATGGACTTTGAAAATATTTGAACTATTACAAAAACTTTTAGGTAAATTCTAAGTCGTAAAAGGGGCATAATTCTGTCAAAATGCTTGATAGAGTTACCTCCTCCTGTTTACAGGTTGGGGTCATGATGGTGAACAAGTGTGCAAAGTTTCAAAGCCATATGTCTATGGACTTTGAAAATATTTGAACTATTACAAAAACTTTAAGGTAAATTCTAAGTCGAAAAAGGGGCATAATTCTGTCAAAATGCTTGATAGAGTTACCTCCTCCTGTCTACAGGTTGGGGTCATGATGGTGAACAAGTGTGCAAAGTTTCAAAGCCATATGTCTATGGACTTTGAAAATATTTGAACTATTACAAAAACTTTAAGGTAAATTCTAAGTCGAAAAAGGGGCATAATTCTGTCAAAATGCTTGATAGAGTTACCTTCTCCTGTCTACAGGTTGGGGTCATGATGGTGAACAAGTGTGCAAAGTTTCAAAGCCATATGTCAATAGACTTTGAAAATATTTGAACTATTACAAAAACTTTAACATAAGTGGTTACGCCAACGCAGACGCCGACGCTCGGGTGACTGCAATAGCTCTACTTATTCTTATCGAATAGTCGAGCTAAAAATGACAACATTTACATTTATACATGCAATTAATTAAATCATGAAAACTTTAAGATTCAAACAATTACAATCTTTCAAAAGATATCATTTGCATTTCATTACATTGCAATTATTCATAAAACGCTGCCATAATGTGTTTTCTATGAAAAAACTTAATTAAAGGGACTCAACTGAGGTTTTTCAGCTTGATGGGACTTAAAATATTTTTTCCCATATTTGTGCAAAATTTTAGACCATTCCTTCACCACGTTTTTTTTTTCTTCTTCAGAATAATTATTTTTATTGTCCAAAATGACCCAAAAATGAAAAGTATAGCACTGTTTTTTTCACTCAAACTTCGCTTAGAATTGCACAAAAAATCAACATTCAATATCTTTTGACTATATTTTGTTATCCTTTTAGCAGATTTCTACCTAAAAAGCGCTTTACCTAACCTTTGTAAGAATTTCATGTTAAAAAAAGAAAGTAAGAAAAAAAACAACTAATCAACATTCAATTTCTTTTTTAGTAAATATGTATTTCTTTATCATCTTTTGCAGATTTCTCCATTAGAAGTGCTTTACCTGATTTTTGTAAGAATTAAAATTTTTATGTTTTTAGGCTTCTTGACCTCAGTGGAGTTCCTTTAATGTTAGCTGTATATACCATCCCTTATAAATGTTAACCATTGACCTGTTGAATATGTATAATGGACCTGTCCTGCTAGTCCATTCTAATTTTAAGGGGTGTTTGATTGGGTGTTACATCACACCGACACACTATAGGTTGCATGGCAGCATTTCAGCATTACTGGTGGAGGTAGACCTCAGGTGCCCTTCTGTGTATTTTTTTTAGGCATGATGGGCACCTGAGAAGAACCAATGACGTTCCGTAAGCTAGCTGAATAGCTTCTTACCATGAAAGAATCCAAAGTTCCTGTCGGGATTCGAAAATTGGTCAGAGGCAAGTGCTTTCAAGTAAAAAAATTAACCACTCGGCAACAGACACCCCCTAGTTTAAGGGATTTCAATATCAAAATACAAATTTTGATGTACTAACAGTAAAGAGCCTGGCCAGACTACACAGATGTGCAGGCTTGCCTGGTTCTATACTGGTGGTAAAGGTTTACCAGCCGGTTAAGTGTTCAATCATTTACTATCATAGATAAAGTGACAGTAAGTCCATTCAAATATAAATACTGAGTGTACAGGCAAAAGTCAAAATAACTAATTTTCAACTGGCAGTTAAATATTATTATAATCTTTAAGTGACATTATGCTCATTTTTTACACTGCCGAAATTGAGATGCATTAGTAATATATTTTTAAAACTTGACAATTTTTAAAGTGATTGACCAATAATAGATAATGAAAATTGTGTATGATACAATATAGAAAGTACCTAAATTATAAAAAGACTGCCCACTCATTATAAATAATTTAAAGTTACCTATAAATTCTGAATGATATTTATAGAAATTTCAGATATTTATAAAAAAAATTTCAGTTGGTAACATGGGTCATTGGTTATTCCTTCATAGTAAAATATAAAATTGAACAAAATCATGGCAAAATGTCAAGTTATTTAGGAAATAGATATCAATTCTGAGTGCATTGTTGTAGAATAATGCACGGTTTGAGTTCAAATGCGTAGTAATATAATCATGAAGGCCGATAGGCCTGAGTGATTAATTACAAAGCATTTGAACGAAAAACGTGCATTATTATACAATAATGCACGAAGAATTAATATCTATTTCCATTCTAACACGTCAAGAAAAAATATAATTATTATTATAAAGTTGGACTCTTTGTTTGGTGGTTAAATTTGTTTTCGCCTCAGAGTTTCCAATAGAAACGTTCTTTAAAGGCTATTCCAGTGGGTTGAAAAAAACTGTCGATAAATATACCGTGCGTAGAAACATTTTGAGAATAACAAATTTTGAAAACGTTGGTAAAACTTTGTTTGTTTATTTTATTTCACTCTATAATTTTTCAAGCAAAATACAAATTTTTAAAAGTGAAATAAATGTAAAACTTAACTTGTTTGCGACATTAAAATAGCGTACTTGATTTGATTGTTTTGCACATGCTGTTTGGCGCTATATTGTGACGTCACATAAACAACACTTTAAACGTCTGTACAGCGTTAACGACTGAATTAAAGATATTGGTGTTCGGATTCATTTTTTTTTAGTTAGACCATTTTCTTTCATTCTAGATAGCTTTCACAACAAAATTCGACAAAAAATGTTTTTATTTATCAGATTTTTTAAACAAAATGGCGGCCTCAATGTGAAAATACACGGGGAGGTTATAAGAACGACGAGTGCATTTTTGTAGAATAATGCACGCTTCGGGCCTTCTTTGTTTATATTGAAAAAAATCCGATAGTGTTAGAATGTTATTTTTACCTATTCACTGACCATTTACAAATGGATTTAAGAATTTACATAGCTATTAAACTAAACTTGACAGAAGAAAATGAACAAAATGTCACTTAAATAATATTGAAGAATAAACAATAAATACATGTACATAGTACAACATCTGTGTTGCACATTTTTAAATTTTAATATAAAGTTGATCATATCATTATTTATTGAAGACATTAAGATAATAAGATAAGAAACTTCACATATATTCTAACAAAACCATAAAGTCAACAAAATAATACTACATTTGTCTTCATTTTTACATAAGAAACATCTATCACACAATTATGCAAATATTTGTTGAACCCTTTACCTGCTAAAGATACATAATGGACTTGCCCTGCTTTTCATTCGAAACAGTCAATTATTGTTGTAAGGGGTTTCAGTGTTAAAAGATCTAATATTAGCAGCAGACAATTTAAAGGGAGTTCTGCTGAGATCCAAAAGCCTAAAAACAATTAATAAACCTCTCATAGATTAACTGGGACACTAATAACAGAAAAATATGTAAAGGATAATAATGAAATATACACAAAAATGTACATGTACTAAGAATTCAATTGAAAATCAAATTCTGGTGTGATTTTTAGCAAGTTTTAAGTAAAATGCATTTAAACATTTAGTTTTTAGGTCATTCTTAGCACTTAAAATGATTATTCTGGAAAATCTGAGTGAGAAATTGAAATTTTGTAAATATGTTATTGGTATATATCTTCATTAAATGGTTTAAAAATGTATAATATAATTTTTTTACAGTCCCATCATATCAAAAACCTCAGTGGAGTGCCTTTAATATGAAGGCTGATGGATGTGCAGGCTGGCCTGACTTTATATTGACAGCATAGACAGGTCATTATAAACATCAATAGCATTCAAAGAGTTCAGACCACATCATTCAAATTATCTGAATTTCACTTCGGCAACCGTTTTAACTCAAGTGCAAGCCAGGTGGCCATGCTGAGTAGCACAACAGAGCCTGACTGATGGGTGGCAGCCAGATGTGTGGGTACGTACATCAGTAATGTAAGAATTCCAAGTGAAGCCTGAAAATGGAGAAAATATTTCTGCTACATCAAAAGACAGTAACATATTGTAGTTATTCCATATAGATATAATAACTTGACATTCACATTACAAAACTCTGTCATCGATACTTAGTCATCAATATACTACAATTTAGTATGCCTTTTTAAGGATTGTATTCTAATTCAAACTGACTGTCAGGATTATTCAGCGACTTTTCCCAAGAGCCTTGCTGAAGAAAAACTTTTAATAATTCTGAAACTAATCCATAGACACATAAAGATGTCTTTTTCCTTACTTAATTAAGTGAATAATCAGCAAAACACAAGAATACTGGTCACACTGATGAATGCTCCTCTATGTTGCTTTGACAAAACTAAAATAATTGCTCACTATGAAGAAAAGATGTTAACTTTTAACCAGTGACCTTGTCCTAATTAACAACTGAAGGTTCCAACACAACATACATCAAAGATACCAGTCAATAAAGCAGTTATAAGAAACAGTAAAGAAATGATGCACAAATGCAATAACTAGATTAAATTTATCTGTTAAATGCATATTTTGACAAAAAATAAAAACTTTGACTTGAGTGTGATGGATGGTCAGACAGAAGGATAGATGGCAAACCCCCATCAAATTCATACCTGAATAAATGCCATTCCAGCTAGACAGTTGACAGCTAGGCGAGCTCTTCTTGGCAACGGATACTTTCTCACCATTAGCCAAAATCCACTTATTAAAACTACTGTACTTTGTGCCTATAATATGAAAAACAGTTTTAAAATGTAACATACCTTTTTATCTTCAGGTATCACTAAAATATATGTAATGCAATGGTACCTGAATGAAGACTATAATTTGAAGGCATGTCTAATTTTAAGAAACAAATATTTGTGGCTCACTTTCATTGACTAGATTTCTAATGATAGAGATGACAAAAATAGCGAAAAAAAAGGAAGTCACAAGACATAATTAAAATGACTAAAATTTAAAATAAAAAATGAAAAAAAAAAAAAATCCTACATTAATCATTTTTGTTTACATATTAAAATAAAAAGTTGGTCCTTGAATTTGGGAATCATGAAACTCAGAAATGATCTTGACAACTTTCATCCCTGGTTAACTACTAGATAAACAAACAAACAAACAAACAAACAAACAAACCAGATATCTATGGTTGAATTGTACAGTTGTTGCATTTTCAAACATGTTTTTCCATTTTGGTGACATTGCTAAAAGGTCATCAGGAACCCATCTATCTGCCATCTTAGGCCAGGAGTTGTAAGTTAGGCCGGCATCTAGTCCAGCCACAAATGCACCTACGATAATTTTCAAAATAATACTTTATTTTGTATTTTAATGGCTGGGTTTTGGTTCTGGGTTTAAGTCTCATCAACATTCTTGTTATAAGGACATATGGTAACTATTCATTTTTTCCCCTGGTGGATGAAAACCTAAGGTGTGTCTCCATGCATTTTTTCAGACATGAATGGACATTTTAGTAGAACGAAAACTATCCTTACACAAGCTGGATAGCTTTTTTCATCTTAAAGAATCCCTAGCAGATTTCTAACCATAGCAGTGAATGTAGATGACTAACAATCAGACCACAATGCCCCTAAAATTAATTTAAGTACAGCAATAATTTAATAAATAAATAAGCCTGAATTATAAATTTGAAATTTCAAAATAAAGTTTCTATTCAGAGATGGTTGTTTTGAAGTATGTAGAATGTTTAGTTTAGTTTATACAAATTTATTTTAGTTTGATTGTGTCGGAAGCTATAAGCTTATTGAAACACTCTCAAATCCGTTCCTGGAACCAACCAGTACTAAGCAATGAATGTAAAGTTTCTTGCTCAAGGAAAAAAACAGCTTGCCCCTGACAGGGTTTGAACCCATGCTGTCAGCAATCCTTAGATTATTAGTGTGACGTGTTAAGTTGTTAACCACTCAGCCACACCGCCACTCTAAGAATGTAGAATGGAGATGTTATAACTAAGCTAACTAAGATAAATTTACTGAGAGACAGGCATGACAAAAATATTTTACCTTCTGTCTAAAACAAAATGGGCAAAAAAGGTTAGATATGCAGTTCAATGTATTTAAGACAATTCATGCATTTACCAAATATATATTTTATGTTCAGTTATGTAATAAGGTGTGACGATTAATACTAAATTCTAATTAAGAAGTAATAATTCATAAAATTTCTTTTTTTCGCTGAATTAGAAGTTCATAATCACCTGATAAAGCAGTGACGAAAACAACAGCCATTAAACCATGTGCCATTCCTCTAACTCTAGCCAGCTGTTTGAACTCTGGAATCTAAAAACAAATATACCGGTAAAAATAACAAAATTTATACAAAGTGAATTAAATCTATATACATATCAGACTTGAACCACAAAGAGGATATTCATTAGTTTTTAGGGAGTATCTAACTAAGAGGCAAGAATCTTAAATATTTTCTAATAAAAGTATAAGTATAAAGAAATTCTTACATCAAAGTACATATATACTTACATATATAACTTTTAATCCTTGTGATAAAAATCATACTTCACTGACAAATTTAAGTATCTCTTCGAAAATCAACATCATTTTTCTAAAACTAGTTAAAATGAAATCTTAACGACATATTACCTTTAATCAAAAACGTATCAAATGAAACTATGTTATTAAATTTTGTATTATTATTCTACTAAACAATTAAAATCATTTTATAAAGAAAGGGTCCGCAGAAAAAATCAGGTTAAAACAAAATCACAGGAAAAAAAATCACAAAAGTACAGTACAACCCCTTCAGCGCAACACCCCCTGGGAGACTCAGATTTCAGTTGAAAGATGTTGCTTTAGAATGGTTAACTTCATTTTGAATTTTAACTTTGTGAATATAAAGATATTGTTGTTGATATTGATGTAAATCCTCTACTGAGTGCCACTTTGTAGAGATTGCACTTGGTAGAGAATTAATTGCACTTATTTCTGTTCTAATTGAGAGTTGGCATTTCTGTTTTACTTGAGAGGTGACATTTCTGTTTTACTTTCAAGAGAGGTGACATTTCTGTTTTACTTTAGAGATGACATTTCTGTTTTACCTGAGAGGTGACATTTCTGTTTTACTTGAGAGGTGACATTTCTGTTTTACTTGAGAGATGACATTTCTGTTTTACCTGGGAGGTGACATTATTAACACACATAATATTTCTGTATTACCTGAGAGGTGACATTCTGTTTTACCTTAGAGATGACATTTCTGTTTTACTTGAGAGGTGACATTTCTGTTTTACTTGAGAGGTGACATTTCTGTTTTACTTAAGAGGTGGCATTTCTGTTTTACCTTATAGGTGACATTTCTGTTTTACATGAGAGGTGAAATTTGAGGTGATATTTTGGTTTTACCTGAGAGATGTCATTTCTGTTTTACCTGAGAGGTGACATTTTTGCTTTACCTGGGAGGTGACATTTCTGTTTTACCTGGGAGGAGACTTTTCTGATTTACCTGGGAGGAGACATTTCTGTTTTACCTGAAAGGTGACATTTCTGTTTTACCTGAAAGGTGACATTTCTGTTTTACCTGAGAGATGTCATTTCTGTTTTATGTGAAAGGTGACATTTCTAATTTACCTGAACTGGTGTTAAAACATGGGCGAGTCCATTCCACAAGAAAAGGGTGTACAACAGTAATGCAGAACCTAGATGAGCTGCTAGTCTGTACTGACTCACTCTTGGAATTTCATAAGCATTTTGCTTTTCTTCAAGTCCACTCTTGACCATGTACCAACCTAGAAAACCCTGTAAAAATACTTAATACAATGTATGGGGGATATAGAGCTATGTTTAAAACTGTAGCCCTAAAATGATTTTTTTTTAAAATATGACACCTGTACTGGTAATAGAGGTAAATTCATCAATTAAGCTTCAAGATTTTTTTCCACAAACCAGCTAAAAATATATGTTTCAACCAATTTTTAGATTTTTAAAAAAAATAAGTTATATTCACAGCTTTAGTCTTTGCATTGTATGTGAATCAGAACTGAAATGTGTTTAATCCTATATAAGTCAAGATAAAAATGACTCCCAGGCAGGGCCAAAAGGTGAAATTACTTCCAAAAAATCATGCCCTCTGCAAAGTAGTTTCTGAGGAGAAAATCTTTTGAAGATTTCATTTAAAAAAAAATTTTAACACTTGTGACCTACTTATGCAATCAGACTGGAACTATTTACAAAATGTTGTTGAGGCCTACCAAAGGATCATTCCTGTGAAATTTGGTCAAAATTAACCTAGTGTTTGAGAGAAGATGTTGTTGAAAGGAATAGACATATTGCTGTTAAAAAAACTCAACTCTGGGCACTAAACATGTATGTATCTATTAAGTAACCAATACACCAAGAATATAAAATCATCAAAGATTTACCTGAAATCCAATCAGACCTGCAAATATGGCCAGTCTGGGCTTCAAGGCTTTAGAAATCCAACCTTTCTTTAGGAAATATAGGGCAGGTAATGCAAACACTAGCCCTACACCTCGACCCCACATTCTGTGGCCCCATTCCATATAATATATGAATTTAAACTCAGATAACGTCATTTCACCTTTCTCTTGTGCAACACTGAAAAAAAGTTAAATATAGAAAATTTTACTAATACATGTAGTTGAGAACTGAATTATATTATGCTTTATACTATTTCCTTAAAGGCCCATTATGCCTAAGAATGGCTAAAATTTCTATTTCTCAAAACCTTTTTATTTTTGGTATCTAGTTACAGTTTCCAAAACAAATACTAATTTGTCATACAGATGAACTTCCTTTGCTCCTTTTGCTTTGTTGGCAATTGGCATAATTACAATGAATACATATTCAGTATTGAAGTCAAAATAGTACATTGTTTACATTTTGCTACATTAACAACATATTACTGGACAATCAGCGCTACTTTCTTCAGCTGTGAAACATCTAACATGTATATCATAAATCAATTATTAAAACATTATCAAACACAGTCATGTCTGACATTTCTAAATAATTTTATAAATATGGATTTCTGAGGCATAATGTGCCTTTAAACAGACTGAGGGTTTGTTGTATACATGAGTACATTACAACACAATGTTGCTCAGAATAAGGAATGAAATATCTACATGCAGTCTGACTTTGTATGAAGTCAGACGTGACATCAATATACTAAATGACATCATGAAAAAAAATTACTTCTCAACTAAATGTAGTTCACCATATTTTTTATGAGTTCTCTATCTTTCAGCATTATAAAAATGAAAGTCAATGTACATATTATTTTTTCTCTAGCATTGTTTTATTAGTCAATTATGCATTATTTAGGGTGCAAATGCCTACAGACTTTATGATTTTACTGCTACATATCTAAACTCAACTATTCTGCAAAACTCTCAAAGTTAATTCATGTACATGTACATGTATATGATTTTTTTTACTTTCATAAATTTTATTCAACACACACATAGTATACCTATATAACTGATATGTTTGTTTGTTCAGAGAAAATATTCAATATTAATAAAAAGACAGTATTTATAATGGAATATTAAAGTTTTCACTTGAAACATTGGCATAAGAACTTACTATTTATACTCTGGGTATTGTTTATATATCTCAAATTCTTCTTCCCATTCTTGCTGGGATCTTGGTGGTTTCATATCTTTAAACAACTTCCAGTCCACCATTGATAATCCAGACTCTGTCAACCTGTAAGTGCAAGCACCATGTCATAATTAAATTTTTTCTCACTTTCAAACATCAATGCATAATTTGTATAACCAAGTGAACAACAAAAGAAAAGCACAATTAGTTCAATGCATGACAATTTTACATGTGATAACTGTATCTCATGGACCATCCAATGACCTTTTGACCCAGAGCCAACTGGCGGCACAAGACCCATGTGACCAGTGCAGACCAAGATCGGACAGCTACATGTAATCCAGAACAACACATCAATGCCGTCTGCTAATGACCTCTACTGTTTGCTATTCATTCAGTATCTATTTTGAAATTTTAACAAAATAGGATGAACTAATAGGATCAAATAATTTATATTTAGCGGAATAATGATTAATGACAAATTACTTTTAACCCTTTGAAAAATAGAAGCTGTAATGACCTGTCTATACCAACATTTAAGAGCCAGTCCATCCTGCACTTCTGTGCCATCTTAACTTGCTTCAAAATATTGTTTGCTTATGTTAAGCATTTTGATCACATAAAATTAGGGAAAGTTTAAAATTTTGAGCTGTATGCATCTTTTATATAAATTTAGCATGGCAAATGAAGTAGAGTTGCATTTGTAATGATTAATAGGAAAGAAAATATATACACATTCCACTGTATACCAATGAACAGCTAAATCACTTGATAAAATAATATATAAAATTTGCAATAAATCAACATTATACATTTAAAAAAACAGAAAACCTTATATCTGGAACATTTTCAGTCTCGAGGTTGTGCATACCTTGTTATACCACCTAGAAGGACTGCACCAGCACACATGCCGGCACAAGAAATCAACCATCCTCCAACAATCTTTTGAGCCCTTCGAGAAATCTGAGGTGCCGCTGTTTCAGCTGCTGTAGCTGTCTGGCGAACAACTTGCGATACCAAACCAGGAAACAGTTTCTGAAATAAAAAGGAAGGATAGTATGACAATGATTTATTAATAAAGCTCCTTTGAAGAAAATATATTTCTAGATTAACAAAAGATTTTATTACATAAACGTTTTGATAAACAGTTTTACCAGGACACAGGAGTGTTATAAAGCCATCAAATCAGAACGATATTACTCTAGTGTAATATCAAGGCAATGTCAATACATAGTGTAAACATTATGTGTCATAAAAACATATTGTAAAAGAAGCTTGCATAATATGAATCTTTTTAACAAATTTATCATTTAATATTAAATCTACACTCATTTGATTATTAATCACTATAAATACTAGCAAATAACAACTAAACAAAGATTTCAAATGATGCTAAAATAAATTTGGCTTTCACCAAATTCTTTTGTCTGATAAAAATGCCTAAATTTGAAAAATTTTAAAGACATTACCTAAAACGGGTTTATTTATCTACTGGATATTCATATAAATGTGGCACATAAGGTGCCTTCAAATGAATAGGTCAAAGTTTTTCTTAAACAGCTTCCGTCACTCCTTTATGAATACTTCTTAGCTGTATTTTTTTTTCTTATAATACTAGTATGTAATTATAATTATTTTCACATTATAACTTATTTTAACAAATGGTTTATCTTTAATAAACAGAAAACTGCTTACTAACATCTACCATGATTGTACAAATCAATTAAATTTCAAAGAAGCAGAATTAAATAAACTAAAAATTCATTGTATAAATTCAGTCTAAATTAACATAGTTCAGTCTTAAACTAAGAAGTAGCTAATTTACAAAATAAATTGAAATTTATCTTATCCCTTTTGAGAAATAAAATTATATAAAATGATATGGTCGCACAAAACTTACGAAATATTTCTTTTTAAACTGAATATAAGCAAAAAAGTTTTCAATCTTTTACCTTGTGTCTAGAAAGGTGATGTTTTGCAGCATTTAACTGACTGTAGCTTACACGTCCTGCTGTAAAGCATTTATGGAATTTCTGGCAACATGGTCCCGGCTAAAATTAAAAGAAAAGAAAAAGACTTTACAATTACAGCTACAAATGATAATAATGGTCAATTTTATGCATTAAAACTGATCAAAATATTTTATTCTTGTTTTACACTCAATTTACAGTTACTTATAAATTCCTCACTTGACACTAAGCAAGTTCTGAGATTTGCTGATGAGGGTAATGCAAGGATACTGGCAATTTGTTGACAGAAATAAAGAATGTGATGAATTGAACTGTCATCAAAAAGCATTCATGTAATTCAGTTAAAATTTCATATTTTAATATGCTTCACCTTTGAACACTTTTTTCATGAATGTCAAGCAGCAAAATGTATGTTTACTCGAGGTGGATTTTGACATTTCGATGGCACAAAACATGCCAACCTCGCAACTTTAAGGTAATTTTTCAAGTTTGACATTTCATTTATCATAAATGTTGACCATGTCAGGAAATATGCTACAGTGAGTTATATAATTTGTATATATTTAGAGTTAGATACCGATAACCAGTACTTAGACCATACCAAAAACTGTTTCATAATTAACCGGTAAATACCGTTTCAAAAAGTGCCAGTGTTTTAAATGGTTATTTTCAAAATTAAAAAGCAAAGAGAATAAACAAAATTGCAAAGGAAAACAAATAAAATCAACGATTATTTGCGTCAATAATATCATAAAAAGAAAGCGAAATGACCTTGATTCTAAATGTCCATAATAAAAGTCAAGAGAGATCACTACGGAGTATTGCCGTATTGGCCATATTCACATCTACTATTAACATTATGCATAAATTCAAATACTTGCTATGGCATTTGTAGCGGCGGCACGAAATACCCAAATATAACCAAATACACCCAAATATACCCAAATATTGCCCAAATATACCCAAATATAGCAATATTTATTTTTGTTTGTATAAAATATAGATAATAATGAGAAATAAATAAATATTCATAAAATAATATGACTTAGCCTGCTATAACTTTAATTCATTCCGTTGAAATGGGCAGTTAAGATGTTGTAAGAAAATAAAGTTGTGACATTTGCTTATCTACAATATAGGTTCTTTATACTTTGTACTTGCAAATTTAATTCAAGATATGATATTTGTTGTCTACACTTACATTTTAAGGTGTAATTTTGTTGAAATTTCATATCATACAGAAGAAGAATGTCCATGAATAGCTTTAATAAAGTACATATACTGTATTTTGGTTCAAAACACAATGATAAGAAAATGTATATTTGGGTACGATTGATTATATCTTAGTGAAAGTGTATATTGTATTCATGATTAAAACATCACTTTTTTTTAGTATAAAACATTTATTTTTAGTATAAACGGGCAATATTTGGGTATATTTGGGCAATATTTGGGTATATTTGGGTATTTCGTGCTTAAAAATTATAATTATGTGTTTTGCTGTAAAACATTCCTACCAATTTGCATCAAAATATTCGCCTTTATAATATGCATGTCTTTGCTGATGTCAACATCATGGTGAGCTCTAGAACAAAGCGTTCTCCATTCATGATTTTCTGTCAATTTTCATCCTTGATATTATTGATATGCTGATGTCAAGGTCTCAGACATATTTTATTTCATAAACAATAACATTTTCATTTTCTCAATTTTATTATAATACATTACAGTATCGGTTTCGTTCTTAACAATATCCAACGCCATATATATAATATAAATTCTGGGACATACTATAAGTTATAGTATGTCCCAGATAGATTCTATGGTAAACATGTACAGTATAGAAATTTTGTATTGGATGATCAAGAGATTAATTTATGATAATTTACCATTACTGGCTACACAAATGAGCCAAGGCCTATGGTCATTTTGTATTAAGTTACATGTAACAGCCAGACAAGCTAAATTTTACCTTACATAATTAACTTAGCAAGATAATTAATAAATGTGAAACGACTTTCCTTTTACGTGCTTTCTATCACTTTTTTCAATTAAATTACAAATAAGAAGAAAAAAACCCCAGGAAAACAAGTCAAATGCCCGCTGTCGCACGTTTTAAACATGAAAATGCGTGTAAAACCTCACGTTCAGAATTTCAATGACCTTAAATAAGTCGCGAAATTATGTTACAACATAAAATTATGTACACATTTTACCTTTACAAATAATGGCATTGCATTCCTCCCCAAGGAAGACATGTTTACAAATAAAGATTGCATCTTCAGCCTGTTTTCAAAGTCGATTTATTTAACTTTCACTCGTTACGAAAAGATTACCAATTGCATAATGTCAACAAACAAGCGTCTACATGTGCCGCAAAAAGCTCTTGTTTGATCAAGATTTTCCCGGAAAAAAAGAAATCGGACAAAAAGCATGGAAGTTTGCATTGACTCTGTCCAATCAGCTATCAATGCAGAGAAAGGAGGTTGAATTCTAATTGTTCTTCATGTATCAAAAATGACTTTGTTTGTTTTTCTACCACTGTCATTATTGCAACTTCTTATCAACGTACTAGTAACCGGATGTTAACATTCGGATAAGTAGATGTTATGGGCTTGTTATAGTTTAGATGTACATTGTATGATTGTTGCTTTGCCAAAAAGTAAGCATATCTCAAAGCAACGTCATAGTTATAGGACTTATATATCGGATAAGATGATAGATTAAGTTGAAGGTAAATGATTAAATAATTCAATAAGATGAATTTTGCTTTAAACAGCTGTTAAACATGTCATTTTGACAAAATAATTTAAAGTAAAACTATTAGACTCTAACAATATTTGCTTCATTTGACTGAATTGAGAAAAATGAAAACATGTTTGAACTGTTGAATCCTGGAAAAAAAAATTTAATCAAATTAAACCACCTAGATCGCTAGATCTAGTAAGTTGGAATAGACCCGCTACATGTATCATTGTATGTTTATCACTGTCTATATTTTATACAGTTAATAGATACCTGGGTCTTCACTTAGATATAGCCACCAACTTGAGTGGTCTTAATTAATGTATATCAAATATATAAAAGCAGTTACATATATCATGCTTATAAATCATACATAGTTAAAATTGTTGTGAAAATAAGTGGGTAAACTTAAATTGTAATAGTAACTCTGTGTACCACTAATGACACCAGTCATTTGTAAGCTGCCTGATCACTGGTTGATGGTTAAGGTTCATGACTTAAGCCACTTTCCCCACACTGCACTGGACCTGAGTCAGGTCAGGGACTTCAGATTCTGGTTCATGTGAGGAAACTATATACCTTACTTACGACTATTCTCTCCCTTACCATTTCCTCCCTTGACGTTTCCTCAGTGACTGTTTTGGGGGATAGCCATCTGCATATGTGCAGATTGTTCCTCATTGATTGATAATATAATTATTAATTTATATAAAAGAAAAAAACTTTTTAGTAGATTACAACACATTGAACACAATATGACATTTTTCACAGACACTTGGGGTTATTTGATATTGGCTCCCCTTTTTGTTCCACATTGTATTCATCATGGCTAAATTTAATTTTCAGACCCTACGTCAAATTATTTTTGCATATCATTACCATCTGGTCACATGTCTTGTACAATAAACTTTAAAAAAAACACACCATAAAATATCATAATTTCATAGAGGTAACAAGGTATGTTCCCATTTGATGTGTAAGGAAGTCAACTGAATTTTTTTCCAGTACCATTTTGCACACTATATATTGTCATTTCATGTCGAGATCCAGACATTATTCTCTAACAAATAAAACTTGTGCATTTTTTTCTCATCGCATCTGGAAGAATTTCATTCAGCCAATTTGATAACCATGTGAATATTACACTCCCTGATACACTCCCGTTAGAAAGTGAATAACAGTGAAACATTTGATTTATGTGCAGGAGAGTAAATTCAAATAAAATAGACAATCATGTTGGTGCCAAGTAAAACTCAAGCAAATAAAACCCACCAGGACTCCCTGTTCCCAGTGTAGAACAATGGAGACTTAAAGGCTAGCAAATCACCTACTAGTGCTTGAAGACTGGCATAGGTTTCACATCAAGAACAGTTTTTCTCCAGCACGATGGTCTTAGATGGTTCATACCTAAATGTTGTACACCCAATCAGTATAAAATGAGCAGCATTGTGTGTATGATTTATTCCAAACACATTTACAGTGAAAAGGTCTTTCAGCTATGATATAGTTAAACTCAGAATTATGTTGTATTTTCAGGTGCAGTGAGAGTAGAATTATGTGCTAATCTAATGGAGGGTGGTACTACACCAAGCATTGGTAAAATAAAATATTTTATTTAATTTCTTACATATTGATTAGGGATTATTTTAAAACAAATCATACAACGGTCAAAAAAGGTGTTTTGTAATTATGCCCCCATTTCGAAGAAAAGGGGGTATATTGCTTTGCACTTGTCGGTCCGTCGGTCCGTCGGTCTGTCGGTCCGTCGGTCCGTCGGTCCGTAGACCAAATGGTTTCCGAGTGATAACTAAAGAACCCTTAGGCCTAGGAACTTCAAACTTGGTATGGTGAGTGGTCATGACAAGTAGATGACCCCTATTGATTTTGGGGTCAATGGGTCAAAGGTCAAGGTCACATTGACCTTGTAAGCAAAAACGGTTTCCGATCAATAACTAAAGAACCTTAAGGCCTAGGAACTTCAAACTTGGTATGGTGATTTGTCAAAATCAGTAGATGATCCCTATTGATTTTGGGGTCAAGGGGTCAAAGGTCAAGGTCACATTGACCTTGTAAGCAAAAACGGTTTCCGATCAATAAGTAAAGAACCTAAAGGCATAGGAACTTCAAACTTGGTATGGTGATTGGTCATGATCAGTAGATGACCCCTATTGATTTTGGGGTCAAGGGGTCAAAGGTCAAGGTCACATTGACCTCTTGGGTAAAAACGGTTTCCGATCAATAACAAAAGAACCCTTAGGCCTAGGAACTTCAAACTTGGTATGGTGATTGGTTATGACCAGCAGATGACCCCTACTGATTTTGGGGTTAAGTGGTCAAAGGGCAAGGTCACATTGACCTTGTAGGTAAAAATGCTTTCCGATCAATAACTTAAGAACCCTTAGGCCTAGGAACTTCAAACTTGGTATGGTGATTGGTCATGACCAGCAGATGACCTATTGTTTTTAGGGTCAAGGGGTCAAAGGTCATGTAACATTGACCTTGTAGGTAAAAACGGTTTCCGATCAATTAACTAAAAACGCTTAGGCCTAGGAACTTCAAACTTTGTATGATGATTGTTGGTGACCAGCAGATGACCCCTATTGAGTTTTGGGTCAAGGGGTCAAAGGTCAAGGTCACATCGACCTTGTAAGTAAAAACGGTTTCTGATCAATAACTTGAGAACGCTTAGGCCTAGGAACTTCAAACTTGGTATGGTGATTTTTCATGACCAGCAGATTACCCCTTTCGATTTTGGGATCAAGGGGTCAAAGGTCAAGGTCACATTGACCTTGTAAGTAAAAACGGTTTCTGATCAATAACTAAAGAACGCTTCGGCATAGGAACTTCATACTTGGCATTGTGATTGGTCATGATCAGCAGATGACCCCTATTGATTTTGGGGTCAAAGGTCAAGGTCACATTGACCTTGTATGTTAAAACGGTTTCGGATCAATAATAAAAGAACCCTTAGGCTTAGGAACTTCAAACTTGGCATGGTGATTAGTCATGACCAACAGATGACCCCTATTGAGTTTTGGGTCAAGGGGTCAAAGGTCAAGGTCATGACCAGTAGATACTTGATAACCCTTATTAATTGTTTGATCACTGGGTCAGAAGTCATGCATAATTACCTTATCAAATGAATAATTGGCTGCTGATAGGGGGCATACATGTTTTACAAACATATCTTGTTGTTATTTAGATTAGGTAAAATAAGACAAGAATAAAGTGTATTCAAATATATGATCATAGAAATTTTTCCAGAAAAAAAAATCATTATGAAACTTACTTAAAAAATATTAATTTAGCTAGAGACTTTTTAGTATTGTGAAAATATTAGTAGCTTTTAGTATTGGCCAATTTTTTCACTTTCCATATCTGATATATTTTTTTTGAAAGCATGAAAAAAAGGATTGTTGGGAAATATTGTTATTAATTAATTTGTAAATTAAGTTACATTAATGTTTTTACTGGCTGAACATTTATGGTTAATATTATGACTTATCTTCTAGTATCTCACCAGTACTACATTATATAAACAAAATCTGACTCTGCCAGGTCTTGCAAGCCTATACAATTCAAGAAACCTGTCTTGCGCTTACAAACACCTCATGTTAATTCCGATCACTGTACCTTTCTTGGGTTAGTCTACAGTGATTTTCCTACTTATACATGTATAACAGACTCTAAAAAAAAAGGCCTCTTCCCAATTGAAATTTTATTTAAAATCATGCAGTTTTCCCAAGAATCTGAACTTAAACCAGCTTTTTTACTTCCCAAATCAGCAATTTTAGCGATAATTTTTCCCAAAATCAAGAGGTTTAGGCCTCTTCCTAATTAAGTGAGAAAAAAGACTGGTCTATATATTTTGACATGAACCTATCTTGCGACAGTACATGTAGGTTCATTTCAAACTAAGTTACATGTTTAAGCGATCATAATTAGAGGTCACTTTTTAAGGCCAGTTACTCTGGTATGATTATTTTGATTAATTTGTTAGAATCTTCTTGGTTAAAGTTTTGTTTGCAAAATTGATCTTTAAAACTTCTGACTGTATTGACATTAAACTTAAATCATGTTTTCGGAATTATAATTGAAGGTCACTACGGTCTTATTACTTTAAAGGAAATATTACATGTACCAGGAACTGCTTTTAGGGCAAAGTCAGGTGAAAACTTTACCTTAAATCTCATTACTTTGCCCCAATTTAACTGAAAAGCAAAATCCACTTAACCTATATCTCCAAAGTGATAAATCAATATAAGTAATTGTACATCAAATGATAAGAGGGTATTTTTTGGTTTGAGTGAAATATGGAATATATTTTCGGGAAACATGATAAAATGCCACATATTTTCAGGAGCCAGAACCATGAGAACGGCAAGTGGAAATGAAAATAATTAATTATGTGTTTTTTTTATCATGTTGAGTGAAAATATATTTCATATTTCACCAAAAATGAAAAAATAACTTTTTTATTCAATTTCATTTTCAAAAAAGAATGATTACAAATCCCTGAAATGGAGCTGAAAGAATCATGAGAAAGTAGTCCCTAAAAATAAATGTGAGTTTTGACTCCGCCCACTTTCATATTTATTTTTTAACTTATGTGAAATATATTTGACTAATGGGTAAAAATACTAAAATTTAAAATATAAATTTTCAATGTACATGTAATATGTTCAAATTCATTCAGGGATGTTGAAAGTGATCAAGGCAACAGTTAAAATACCTGTGTTTGTGATGATAAGACCTCGTGGTGGGGATTTCACGTATTTTCAACACGAGTTTGATGTTATGTTTCAAGATTTATGCATGCTGAAGGAAACTGGTGCCGATGGTTTCGTCTTTGGAATTCTGAATAAGTTGGTAAATTTGAAATATATTTTAAGATAGTGATTCAATGCAGTCAATCATTAATTTATATTAGTGTTTTTGTGTTCCCACTTCAGTGGTGGGCATTTAGATTTACCCTTGTCCGTCCATCTGTCCGTCCTTCCGTCCATTCTCTTGTGTCGCACGTAACTCAAAAAAGTATTTGACCAAGAGTCATGAAACTTTACAGGAATGTTGATCAACATGTGTAGTTGTGCACCTTGGTATTTTTGTCTGGATATTTTAAGAATTTTTAGAGTTATTGCCCTTGACTTAGTAAAATTTTGCAATTTTCAACTTGTGTCGCATGTAACTCAAAAATCTATTTGACCTAGAGTCATATAACTTTACAGGAATGTTGATCAGCATGTGTAGTTGTGCACCTGGGTATTTTTGTCAGGATTTATATAGTATTTTTAGAGTTATTGCCCTTGACTTAGTAAAATTTTGCAATTTTCAACTTGTGTGGCATGTAACTCAAAAAGGATTTGACATAGACTCATGAAACTTTACAGGAATATTGATCAGCATGTGTATTTGTGCACCTGGGTATTTTCTTCTGGATTTTTTTAGTATTTTTAGAGTTATTGCCCTTGACTTAGAATTTTTTGCAATTTTCAACTTGTGTTGCATGTAACTCAAGAAGGATTTGACATAGAGTCATTAAACTTTACGGGAAGGTTGCTCAGCATATTTAGTTTTGCATCTGGGGTTTCGCTTGTGGATTTATCCAGTATTTGTTGAGTTATTTCCCTTGACTTAGTAAAAACTGTTTCATTATGTTGTTATTTGTTCCTTGAGTGCTTGAGCTAGAATCAGCCAACTTTACAGGAATAATGATCAACATCACTAAATTACAGGAATAATGATTCACATCACTGTCAAGCTTAGAATGAACCTAGGACTTTGCATGTGGATTTTTGTCAGTTTTGTAAGAGTTATTGCCCTTGACTTACAGAAGAATAAACTTGCAATTTTCAACTTGTTCATGCATAGCTCAAAAAGTATTTCACTTGTAGGCCTGAAAGTTTACAAGAATGTTGGCCAGCATGTGTACTTATGCACCTTGGGGTTTGCTTGTGGATTTATTCAGTATTTGTAAAGTCCTCACCCTTCACTTAGTAAAAGATTTTGAGTTTTCAAAAAATATTTGACCTAGAGTCATAAGATTGACAGAACAGTGGCGCGGTGCGGGCACCCGTGTCCTATGGACACATTTCAAGTTTTTTTTGTTTTTTTTGCTGTTTTTTTTTTTAAATCTTTGTAAAAGCAACTGACTGAAACTATGCTGATTACAATGTTTTCAATTCTGTGTATTTTTCAGTGTAAACAAAAATTAAAGCTGGAACTGGAAAATTTAAAGTGTTTCAATAAGCTGATAGCTTCCCACACAATCAAACTAAAATGAATTTAATATAAACTACAAATAAATTAAACTGGACAATAAATTCTGAAAAGTGTTTACTTTTTCTGTTTAGAATGACAGCTTCCATCACAAACTAAAATCATTTAAAAAAAAAAACTAAACTAAACATTAACTTGACAATAAGTTCTGAAATCTTTTTACGTCTGCAACTGTGGGGTTTAGAATCTGTTGCTGAATAAATTACATTAAAAACCCATGAATATCTAATGCAGACAGATTGTTAATTTAAAATATTTCATTGTGAAAATATTGATTGTGAAAAGGTGACAGACTGGTATGATTTGTTATCTGTGTCTAGCCTACAGTTATTATAGTCTGGTTTCCTTCCTCTTACACTAGCACTACTTCCTTTGTAAATGTAGGCTGGGAACCAGACTAACTGGTATCATTCTTAGTTTGGCTTTAAATTAACATATTATTTAATTTCAGAGATGGCACAATAGAAGAAAAAATGTGTGAGAAACTCCTTGGTAATGACTTTTGGTGTTGATTTTCTGACTTTAAAAACAATTTAAAAAAAAACAACAACAAAACTCTTAATATTTTATCATTTATAAAATATTTGTTTTATTTTGACTCAAGTTATATGCCATTAGTATTAAAATTCATGATAATTAAAAGTTTTTTCTTATTTTTGAGTTTATCTAGTTTATTTATGACATTTTGCCTGTGGTTGGCAGTAAAATAAGTTGTTCCATTTGAAATTCAGTCAAATCATTATCAGAAAATAAAATTAGGTGATTGGCTGGCCGCTGCTAATTTTTCATAGACTAGTCAGACTATAGAAAAGTTTTTTATGTCCATCCGAAATTTGACTACCCATGGGTTAGCTGGTTACTGCTAAACTCATAGACTGTGTCACCATTGTTGCTTCAATGAACAAAACCATTCTGTGAGAATCACCTTGTGGCTGAGGGGTTCCTTAGTGGAGACATCAGAATTTTAACTCAGCCGGTGAGGTGATTTTGACCCCTGGAGTTGCGTTAAGTTTTTAAGCCCCGAGGTGAGCCAAATCATTTTTCCTGTTTCTGCGCAATATGACCTTTATTGTTGGTGCAGCGTGAATCCAAACAAAACCAAAATCAATTACTATGATAAGAGAAGGTAATTAGTGTTTTCTTTAAAATTTATAAGGTTTCTTCAATATTTCTTGCAAGTTGTTATTTTTATCCAATTTCAGAATACGCCAAACCGTTGCCGTGTACCTTTCACAGAGGTAAGATGATTTATTGTCTTCATTGTCAACAGTTACAGTTTGATACTTTTATAAGGTCAACCTATTTTTGTGCAAAAGAAATCATACTGTTTATAGTTGTAAATTTGTATAACAGGATACAAATATATTTCATTCCTAGTACAACTGTACTCACTTTTTTTTGCTATGCTACAATTATAAAATACATTTTCCCAACAAATATGAATATGATGCCGTTAGCTACCTTAAGGTCAATCATCCATTGATAGTGTAAGCTCATATTAATTCAGTCAACTCTGTCATGTACACACCCTCTTAGCTTAATAGGGAAAGCATTAGATTCATAGTTCTAGGGTCACTTTCACAAGCAGTGGCTCTTGTTTAACCATTACATTGAATCTAATGGTCTTTTGTCACCACTGATTCAGAAATCATGTTAGATTAGTCAGTCACTTGGAGAGAAATTGGTAATTACTGGTGAGTGAGACAGGAAAGACAGTTAGATGGACTGACCTCCCAATTTATGTTAAAATTGGTGTTAAAACTAGAACAAAACTGTCACTTACATGTATCTTAATGTAATATTTGTTTTGGAGTCTGCAATATTGTGTTTTGATAATATTGACGCCTTATTACATGGTAGTTATATACAACATGTCACCATATATGCCTAATGTTTACTTATAAATGACTGAATATACATGGGATTTCTGATATTGCAAGTTGTTGGTTAATTATATTTCAGCTATTGATATGACAAGAGACATCAGTGAAGCATTAGAGAAAATTATTTCCCTTGGTTTCGGAAGAGTTCTCACAAGCGGGGGGGGACTCCTCAGCATTGGAGGGACTTCCAGTCATTGCTGGCATGGTGAAGCAGGTTTGTTTGAACTTTTTATCAAGTATAAAGCATACAGGACAAATTAATTTTTGTTATTATTCCCTTCCCATGAAATAAGGACAGATATATATGAGTAGGTGTAATGACATGGCAATGCCTGTCCATGCTTCCATTTAAATTCATTACAGACTTTTACTTTAGATTGTAACATAATGTTGTTTTAATACCGGTAGTAATTAGAAAGTGATGCACATTGAATGGCATTGAAGGCAGAGAATTTCAAGCTCAAATAAGGGGCATTTCATGGCCTAATGATTAAGGTGTCTGCCTCTCAACCTAGGGATCATAGGTTCATGCTCTAATTTGGTCACGACCATGCTTCTTCATATGACAGCAGTACTGGTTGGTTCCTGGAAGCAGACTGAAAAGTGATTTATATAAGTTGCAAGAACTTTTTTATCGCAAACTATCTGAAATAAATATGTTTAAACTAACATACTAGCTCTATTTCGAAAAATAGGGAGAGATAATTATACTTGCCTGGCATCAGTATCACACTTTGGTCAAGTATTTGCATGCAAGTTTGTAACATAAAATGGGTTGAAACTTCACATACTTGTTCTCCTTGATTATCTAACATGATGGGCACATATCCCATAACTCTGAGTGACCTTTTTAAAGGATTATGCCCCTTTTCTTACTGGTCAGCACTGACATAGGCAAGCTGCAGATCTTGTTAAGTTATGACCCTTTTGTTTGACATTTTAGAAAGATAGATTTTTATCTTGAGTTATACATAAAATTTTGAAGTGATTAGTATGTCAATAAGGACTTTTGTTTCTAATGTACTTAATGTTTCTAAGGAAGAAATGTTATATAATTGCCAATGATTATTGTAAAGTGTCGATATATTGTTTCCCTGAAGCTAATATATGTCCTTTAAAAAAATTGTGACATAAATTTCTTTTACAGGCTGGAAAACGGATTATAATAATGCCAGGTAAGTTAAAATGAATTTATCATCTCTCAAAGTTCATATTTTAATCGACCTTAAAATTTTGTTAATTCTTGATCCCCCCAAAAAAGTATAAGCCAGGCAATTTCATACACAGAGCTGGATATTATTTATATCTCACAGTCCTTGATATTTTTTATATTTCACATCAAATGCCTAAATTATGTGGGTTTTTTTTTTATACCTTGCATAACTTCTTTAACTTTTTATTATAATTATGATAAACACAATCATACTCTTTAACCTCTATTTAGATACCATCTCAGAGTAAAGAGCATATTTACTAAACCTATCCTCAAAAGGCATTTTTTTAAAAGAAAAAAAAAATACTATGTAACAATGAAAATGCATGCCTGTATTGAGAGATGACCTGCCAAAACATCACTTTTCTCCTGGATTCTGATCTGTATGAATAAGATACATGTATTTTCATTCTTTCTTAAAATGTAACTTATGTTTTGCCTTCCCCCGCATGAATAGATAATGTCATTATTTCTTAAAATGTAAGAAATGTTTTGACTTCCAGGTGGTGGAATTAATGAGAAAAATTTGCAAAGAATTTTAGAACAAAGTGGTGCTACAGAATTTCACTGCTCAGCTCGCTCCAGTGTTACATCTCAGATGACTTTCCAGAAGCAAGGCATCTCCATGGGAGCGTCCTTGACCCCACCAGAATTTAGTGTCAAGGTCACAGATGATAACAAAGTTAAAAACTTAGTGACAATGGCTTCAAACTTTTGGGGTACCTGAAAGTTTCAGAGTTAATTTTTGTAAGGTACATGTATATGACATGTTAATTGAAATTTGATTAAAATTTTAGATGAATGTTGCGGATAATTGTTTATACATTATTATTACATGCTTTTCGATGGTTTATAGAAATATATCAGTGATATAATAACTGGTAATTTCACTGTTTGAAACAGTGAAATTACCACTTTGATAATTTCACTGTTTTGAATTTAAGCCCATTACGTTGTTTCACTGCAATACCAGCGTGCACAGAACTGGGTACCAACTTAATGACATGACGTCGTAAATGACGTCACGTTGTATTATTATTTGGCGCGCTTTTCATTCAGTATTAGGTTTAATGTCCTTTTAAAACTTTTCTTTGCATATAATAAAAAGAAAATTTGTTTAGTTTAGTGTAAGATCAAAATATATTCCACCTTGTGAACACCAAAAGTTCATATTTCGCTCGTGGCTGCGCCACTCGTGAAATATACCTTTAGGTGCTCACCCGGTGAAATATATTCCGATCTTACACTGAACTAAACAAATATCCTCTATATCATTTCCTATAAAGTCTTTCTTTATGATACATTTTATTTATCATTATGGTATGGAATACAATAAATATTGATGATATCATACTAGTCGAGTTTCATATTTTTCCATTTTATCGTAGAAATATCTGTTAAGCTTTTACTGACATTGTCACATGCATATTATGTGGTGCAAAAATGTGGAACATTTGAGTGCTTTTTTTATACTGATACAGAAATGAGCCGCGTCACGACAAAACCAATGCAATGCGTTTGTGACCAGCATGGATCCGCGCAGTCTGATCAGGATCCACGCTGTTCGCTATCACTTTCTCTATAGGGTTTGTAAGAGGACAGCATGGATCATGATCACACTGCGCAGATACGCAGGCTGGTCTGGATCCATGCTCGTTGCAAACACATTACGTTGGTTTTGTCGTGACACGGCTCAAATATATTTATACGAGCATAATTGACTTTTTTCATAATGATCACTGATGTCTCACTTAACTGCATCCAGTATTTAATTAGCAGAGCATGCTGTCACTTCTTTTTATTATTATTCACATGTTTTGCAGAACTTTTTGATTTTGTAATAAGATGTAAATTTGCCGTTGAGTAAATGATTGGCCAACTTTTACTTATTGCTCTGGGTCTTCCATGTCCGAGTGGTTAGAGCCATAAGACTTCTATCCAGCAAGCTTTGGGAAGGAAAGCTAAGAAAATGCTGTATGACCTATACAGTGTTAGTGTAGCTTAAAATTCGGCAAAACTTACTGTTCATTGTGAAAAAAGTAATGCTATCAAACTTTATGTTCAAACTTATAATAGAAATTTACCTCTCAGTTTCATCTACTCGTATCTTCATGTTTAAATAACATAAAATGAGGTACAAGTGATATAATATTTGACATACTGCTTTTACATGTACAATGTACATTATATGTTTAACATTGCATTTATATCAACATATTACTTAAGAAATAATATCGATCTTAGCGGTGTTTATCTGCTATTTTATAATTAACTGATATGGATCAAATCTGTGGTGTTAGTGAATGTTAGATTTTATTTCGGTATCGTATGAAAAGAAAACATTATAAGAACGTTAAAAGCATGAATTGATTGTAATAATTCATATGATGTATCAAATGTTTATTTTTTACAATATACTTTTTTATTGCATGTATCACTCATAATTGCTTAGCTGTGTAATAAATAATTCCTGATGTTTAATGATAATGATATTAATCATTATTGAGTTTTGCTGAAATTTAATTTCATCGAAACAACCATTAACTTGTGTTTTGTTAAAGTTGATCAATGTTTACTTCGTTGGTATCTGGATTTATCCATTTTATTCTATGCTCACAGACAAACTCATTTGGTGGTTGTACCTGATAACTCACATATATATATCTCCAATACCTGTATTTCATAAATTTATGTTACTGTAAAAATACTTCATGCAGCATTCGTTTCTTTCAAACATAAGAACTGAAAATATGAATAAAAATGCTTTTTGATTGTTGCTCTAAAAGGCTTTGTAAACTATATAATCGAGGGAGAAAACATAACAGCCGCATAATTATGTACGCAGTCCCTAACCAGTGTTTATTGTCAGTTTAACACCGTTTTTTTTCTTCTTTGACAATATTGACAAAGTCACGAGGAGTGTTAGAATTGTAAATATACTCATATGTTTATGTATATTCTTACATCACTCTTTGATAAATTGTTAAACCTGACCGTATTTTGGGCTGGAGGCCTTATGGTATAAATAAACACATTGTCATTTACTCCATACATTTAATGATCAATGATAATCTCCCAGAACGAATGACTAGTATTATTTCCAAATATTAAGTTTAGCATTGTTTCTGAAAATTTCACCTTTTCTTCAAATCTGCAGATTTGAAGGCAAAAGTAGGATATGTCTTTTAATCATTCTAATGCCCTAATAAGTGGACAAATATAGTAGGTTAAAGGCACATTAACTTGGTGCCAAGGGTCTGCGCATGATCTCATAACTTTTAATTAATTTAGCCTCTGAACGGGCAAGGGCTAAAAAACAAGAAATAGTAGTTGAGGATTTTCAGGAACATATTTCTTTTTTATAGCTCTTTTTTTTTAAAAGGAGAAAAAATGGACACATAATGTTAATGCACTTAGTTCTTGAACTTGAGGTATCCAGGAAGCTTCCTGAGTGTTGTCTGGAGTAAATCTTATAAATATATGAGAGATTTAAGTATTTCTTGGCACATGTTCACCAGTGGGAGACTTTGTGTTGTGAGCATGAATCTGATCTCTGGGTCAAAAGTCAAGGTCGCACTATGAGTTTTTGACTAAATTAATGGACACTGTACTTTATTTTCATCTTTGTCTATGAAAATACAGTCGACTCTCATTATTATGTCGCCTCTACGGAGTAGTGGCGACATATAGGGATCACTTCTCCGTCGTCTGTCCGTCTGTCTGTCCGTCCGTCCGTCCGTCACAAAACTTGTCCGGACTACCCCTTATAAACTACTGGTGCAATTTCATCCAAACTTTACAGGAATGATCAGTATCAAGTCTAGTTTTGCATATTGTCAGCATTTTCCGGTTCAATGATTTTTGTCAGAGTTATGGCCCTTTAATAATTTTTAATTTTAAAGTTTGTCCGGACTACTTCTCTTATACCACTAATGCAATTTCAATGAAACTTTACAGGATTGATCTGTAGCTCAAGTCCTTGCGCATATTGCAAGGGTTTTCCGGTTCAATGATTTTTGGCTGAGTTATGGCCCTTTGATAAAAAGGTGTTTTTTTCTGTGTGTTGCCAGATACACAATAGCTTGTCCGGACTACTCCTCATAAACTACTGGTGCAATTTCATCCAAACTTTACAGGAATGATCAGTATCAAGTCTAGTTGTGCATATTGTCAGCATTTTCCGGTTCAATGATTTTTGTCAGAGTTATGGCCCTTTAATAATTTTTATTTTTAAAGTTTGTCCGGACTAGTTCTCTTATACCACTTATGCAATTTCAATGAAACTTTACAGGATTGATCTGTAGCTAAAGTCCTTGCGCATATTGCACGGGTTTTCCGGTTGAATGATTTTTGGCTGAGTTATGGCCCTTTGATAAAAAGGTGTTTTTTTCTGTGTGTTGCCAGATATATACGCAAAAGCTTGTCCGGACTACTCCTCATAAGCCAGTGGTGCAATTTTATCCAAACTTTACAGGATTGATCAGTACCAAGTCTAGTTGTGCACTGTCCGTCTGTCTGTCCGTCTGTCACAAAATTTGTCCCAACATGAAATTGGCCATAATGAGGCGACACATGTGATTACTGATCGCTCTTGTATCAAAGTTGCAAGGATTGTTGAAAAAAGTCGAGATAACAAAATGTTTCAAATTGACATATTTGTTGGTATTTGGAAAGTCGTGGGAATATTCATTTATACAACCATGCTAATTGTTACATAACATTGTTTCTAGTGGGCGGAAAAATAATTTTACAATTATAAATAATAACATCAATTATTCAGAAATATTAACGTTCAATTATTTATACAGCCTTGTAATAGGTCACCATTCTAAAAGCCACGCTTACAATCAAATTGGAACCACTCTGGATTTCATACAGCAATGTAACCTTTGATCTTTAAAAAAAATGTTGATATATTGGTAGGAATTCTTTGGAGGAATGAAGATAGGAATTCTTTGGAGGAATGAATAATGAATTGTTGAAGGTTTGTTATAAATGCATATCTAAATAATGGAAATATGTTGATGATTCATCAGGCCAAGTTAACATTATACAGAAATGCAATAAAAGTTATTGATTTAGTGTTTAATTGTCTTTTATAATGTATCATAAGAAATTGTTGGAGGGTAAGTCTCACATAGGTAGTGGTGACCATGATACAACACCTGTTATAAAAGCTGGGATCTACACTGTTGTAATTGTATTCTCAATACCAACAATGAACACTTAAACCTGTAAAAATCAAAGTAAAATAAGTTTATATCAGAATTTGAATACGATTAAAGTTAACATGCTCTTACAGAGCTAGTGTAGATTTATTTAAAAAAAAAACAAAAAAAAAACCAAAATCACCTGCTTACCTTAATAGGAAGAGTATCTGATTTGTAATCCAGTGGTCACAGGTGATCTGATCCTAGAGCCAGGAGAAATTGTCTATGTGACTATTGAGTATAATGATCATCTGTCTCTCACCACTGATTCAGAAGTCATATCGGATTAATAGTCGGAAAAATTGCCAATTAATTGTTAGTTATCCAGGAAAGTCTATTTTATGGATTGACTGCCATGATATGACCAAAAGTGTATTCAGTTCAGCGTAATAGCCAGAAAAACAAAAAAGTAAATCAAGAAAAATAAAATTTGCCATTATTATTTTAAGTAATATTGCAACCATCCATCCATCCATGGTATTTCAAAACAAATTGGTTCACATGAACTCTTTTGTTAGAGGATGTGTTGCGTGCAAGACACTGGTCCCTAGCTCAAAGGTCAAAGACAAAGCATGGGTTTGAACTTGGTGTATTTTTCCATATACATGTAGTCCAATGTGCAGTTTGACTTCCTGTCCAGTCCATAATTTATGCATGATGGAATTTCAAAATAAACTGATATTTTTGATCACCATAGGAAGATGATGTCACTATCAAACCCAGATCCTAGTTCAAAGGACAAGGTCACAGCAATAAATGTGACTAAGCCTTTTGTCATAGAGTCTTAATTATTAAGTGTATTTTTTTCATTACTTCTTCATGCAAAATAAGATTTCGAAAAAAAGTTGGTACATATGATCACAATAAGTAAACAATGGGTAATGTGTAAGACCCATGTCCTCACCTGCAAGGTCAAGGTTGTATTAGGGTGTCAAAGGTCAAAAGCTATATGGCATATAATTTTGTTATTTGATAGATTTTCAAAGTAATTGGCATATGTCTTCACCAGAGTTGATGTGTCGGGTGTGAAACCACTGTTTGCAAATTCACTTTTTAGTTTTATAATACAAACAGAATGCCCTTTGTTTACTTTTTGCTACTTTTTCGACAAATTATTTCACATTCACACTCACACAGCCTTCCCTCAACATGCTGTAACTCCATTATTTAAACATTTAAAAACACAAGTTTGCCTTTTCTTCATAATTATAAAAATCCATATTCATTTTCTCAGGCATGATATGCTTTAAATATCACATGTTACCAACCAATGCAGGTTTTTTATTTGTCTCATTTATTGTAAATCATATTGACATCTGTTACAATAAGAAAGTCGCTCATTTCTGTGCACGGCAGATGTTACAACTACCATGGCTTTAATTGCAATGAACAGCAGTGCATTCAACAATTTATATGCAAATATTTTGTATCTTCTTAATCATGGTATTTGAAAATTTTAAACTTAATATGTAGTGTCTAAATATTTATACATTTACAGTGTTTCTGCCAGACTAGATTTTTTGGGGGTTACTTGTGACCTATGAGGGTCAATTGTTATTATTAAGGGTCAAATTTAATAAAAGTATAAAAACTACAAAAGTAAATCTTAGCATTATTTTTAGCAAGACTATTCGATAAGAATAAGTAGAGCTATTGCAGTCACCCGAGTGTCGGT